CCAAGGAAAGGGAAACTGACGCCGAAAATAAAGAGGAAACGCACCAAACCAAGAGGCCACGCGGCCCGGACAGCGCGTCGAACTCAGATTCAGAGGAAGACGGGTTCGTACTTGTTGAAATGGCTAGACCCAACAAGAAAACCAGAAAACGACAGGCCCAAGACAAAGCCGCAAAAATTGCCAAACAAGAGGCAGAAAAACAGGCCACCGAAAACATGGATACGGAAAACACCTCAGATAAACAACACAGAGGAACAAAATTCAGAAAAAGGAGAATCATCCCCAAAAGTGACAAGTGGACCACCGATGGAAGTAGGAGAGCCTCCACCAATAGTAATCCACGATGCCAAAAAGTGGAGTGCGATATCCAAAGACCTAGAGCAAGGAAAGATAGGTTACAAGAAAGCCAAACTCACGAGGGATGGGATATACCTATTCACCAATGACGAAAACGAGTGGCGTAAAGCCACCAAATACCTGGAAATGTACCAGAAAATGTAGAACCCGCAGACGTCGCCAACGATCTGACAAAACAAGGGTTTACTGTAATAGAGTGTCACAGGATGACCTCAAGAAGATATAGGAAGGTACTGCCACTGTTTTTGGTGAAAGTACCAAAAAACGAAGAACAGATTTTTGCGCTAAGAACATGCGTAAACTTGATAGTACGGGCAGAACCCCAAAGAATTAATAAGGGACTGGTATCCCAATGCCATCAATGTCAGTTCTTCGGCCACTCGCAGAGATGTTGCCACTCGACGGCACGCTGCGTCAAGTGTGGAGAGAACCACGACACCAGGGAGTGTGAAGAAACAATGGACACGCCGGCCAAATGCGCGAACTATATGGAGGCGCATCCGGCAAGTTACAGAGGCTGCAAGATGTTCCCGAGGCAGAGAACATCAGCTTGGAACAAACACAGAAAGGCGGAAAGACCGACGCCGAAGCCACAACAGCAATCGGCTAAAAAAAGCCCCAACAAGACAACCACCAACAAACAACAACGAAAATGATCTAGTGAAAATACTTAGCAGTTTGACAGCCGAGCAGCAAAAGATCGCGCAAGCGGTCGTAAGCAAAGTGGCGGAGCGTGTCATCCTGAAGAGACTGGAAGAACAAACTAGAGAGTTAGGGATCCTCCCCGACGAACAATTCGGTTTTAGATCAGAACACTCAACAGAGCTACAAGTCCTGAGGGTAGTGGACTTTGCGACAGAAAGCTTCAACCTTGGCAAGGGATACAATACCGGAGCTATCTTCTTAGACGTCTCCAAGGCATTTGACAGAGTTTGGCATGAGGGCTACTGGCCAAAATGAGCGATTTTGGATACTCAAAACCAATGGTAAGATTAATTCAGTCTTTTCTAGCTGACAGGCGATGCCGCTGCAAAGTAGGAGACGAATTATCAACAGTTCGACTACTGGAGGCAGGAGTCCCGCAAGGTGCAGTCCTTTCGCCACACCTCTTCTCCGTATACACGGCAGACGTGCCCAAGCCAGAGAATAACTTTAACAAGTTGGCGCTCTACGCGGACGACACGGCCATGCTGGCGAGATCTACGAGTCAAGCACACGTTACGAGATACCTTCAACAACAGGTAGACAGATTGGAGGAGTGGGCTAACCTGTGGAAGATCAGTATCAACCCCGACAAGAGTCAGGCGATACTGTTCACTCGCAAGTTCGTACAACCGAAAGGCAACGTCACCTTCAACGGACAAAAGATTCCGTGGACAAACAAAGCGACATACCTGGGGGTCATCCTAGACGAAAAACTAACATTCCAGGCCCACGTACAGCAGAGAATAGGAATGGCCAGACAGGCCAGACGACGCCTGGCGCCGATCACAGAAAGAAGCAGTAACATGGCACTGAAAGTCAAGTTACTAATGATCAGAACGATTTTAATGCCAATAATACTGGGGCCAGTGTACGCAGACATACAGAAAGAAGATCCAATCGTTTATATCCACCTTATTATATACCCAACAGATTTATATACAGAGACTTAGACCTGGACAGGCAATATGTGGACGTGCATATGAGAGAACAGGCAGAAAGCACGTTCGATAGAATCAGATCGCACTCAAATCCAGCGTTCCGCGATCTACACGATGCGTTAAATATGAATGACCCCAGATTCCGAGAAAGGGACAAACATCCCAGGCCGACTAAACAGAATAACAGACCGCCTCCGTTAGTCGCCGTCAGGCGACTCAGGTAAGTATAAAACTAACCAGATACACTCTCTTCCAGGTAAGTTCAGCGAAAAACACATCGACCGCGATCGCGACTTTTCTTGGATGCACTTAGAAACGCTCGATGCATAACACAAAGCCGCCGGTTAGTTTTTGGGGGCCCCCGTGCTTAAATTCAGTTAGGAATAGTCGGATAAAACAACGATTCGATAAGAAAGTAAAAGCACCTAAAGACTGACTTTCGACCAAAAGAGGTCAGATGTCAATCTTGCTGAAGTGCCCATCAGCAAGTTGAGGACCGCTCGGAGAGCGGGGGTGGATGGAGTGGGGTAGTAGGTTCTCCTCGCTAAATAAATGGGGGGGAAGCTTCTACTTCAGGGCACTCAACCCGGGAGGCGGCATGGGGGGGAAGAAGCCTAGGGATAGTGATTGTAAAACAATTTCTGCTAAAGTTCTATCAAGCCGCCTGCAAAACTTTCTTTATCATATATTCATAAAACCACGAGTAAGCGGTTTTTACTTCATGAGTACTTATTCCACTAAATTTCTTCGTTTCAATTTGAATTGTAATCGTTCACGAAACCATCTCGTATTGTTATACACACACCCGAGGCGATCTGACCGAAACCACAAAGTGTGGCTGGCTTTTGTTGATGACTTCGTGCATTTGTGTTGTTTCCTGCATTCATAAATTACCTAACCTTGCCATAGTTTCAAAACTGAAACTTATTTTTGAGCAATTATATTCATGCAGCCAGCGTGGTGGTTTCATCATGGTGGTTGCACTCATGGTATCATTACTGTTTTCGTTAATAAAAGGAGTTTTATCGATACAATTTTGAGGTCTTGTGATATTACTTCGATGAAATAATAGCAGTATATTATGAAACTGTTTATGTACGGTCGGTTTGGTTACCAACTAGGAACAATTGATATCTTTTTCGCCGATAAAAACATATTTATTTCTAAACAAGATTGATGACAAGTGATTTGAGCTGGCTTTCATTATAAAAATCACAAAATGTACATGAAATAACTACACTTCGTATGTGGGAGACACAAAACACTGAGCGAAACCCGGAAAAACTACTCATCATTCTTTGTCCGTGAGAATCTTCGAGTTCTGTGTCTCCCACACGTAAAGTGTAGTTATATCATGTACATTTTTGTGATTTTCGGAATGAAATTTGACTCAAATTACTTGACGCCAATTTTGATTGGAAACATGTTTTTAATAATAATAATATTTATTTGCAGTTCAATATAAATTCAATAAATATACAATCTATAAAAATGATTAAAAAAAACTACAAATAAGGCTAGAAACAACATGTACCGGAAGGGTACCTACACTTCTCG